TTTTATGATGTTACTTGATAAAGTGATTCTGTCTTTCAGAAAGCTTACATCTGTGACTATCCAGGTAAGGCATTAAGTTCTAGGGAAAGGTATGGAAAGTTGAAGGAATGTCCAATTTAAAAAAATATGGCATATTGCAGCATATTCAAGATAAAGAATGTCCTTTAGAGAATATTATTTTTCATTAAGACTTGATGTTCCTATGTGAACTGGAAATAAGTAAACTATTAATAGACTTGCTAGGGTTTTTACTTATTTGGTATAACAAACACTGAATATCTACTATTATATGGCATGGGTTAAATACATGTTCCTTTTTACACAATGTAAGTGCAAGATACTGTCAAAGTAATTTCATAATCATTTTAAAAGCCAGATAAAGGCACTTACCATAAAGGTTGTAATGTTTTTAAAATGTCAGAGCAGTAACTGAACAATTATAAGAGTTAGGGCACATTTTGTTATTAATTTGTCACTCTTACTATGACATTAACTTCCTTCCTCCAAATTGCTCGTCTGCCATTTTTCCAATTCGAACTGCGTGAGGAGCTTCACAATGGACGTTGCCTCATCGTCCCTTCCTTCCTTCCCTCCTTCCTTCCTTCCTTGCTTCCTTCTTTCTTTTCTTTCTTTCCTTCCTTCCTTCGTTCCTTTCTTTCTTTCTTTCTTTCTTTCTTTCTTTCTTTCTTTCTTTCTTTCTTTCTTTCTTTCTTTCTTTTCTTTCTCTCTCTCTCTTTCTCTCTCTTTCTTTCTTTCTCAGTGGTTAAAAAGAAAACCATATAAGTTAAGCACAAATACTTTTTTGTAAAAATCATTTTCAAATGATGAAAAAGCAAATGTTTTCTTTGACTCCTACCCAATCTTACTTCTCTTTCCAGAAGTTATACTGCACATCCACTTCCAGCCCCTTCTCTATGCATTTATGAAAAAATATGTGCATATATCAGTGTATGGTTCTATTTTTGGTATGTGTGTTTATAAATTGGATCATAGTGTATATACTGCTTTGCAACTTGCTTGTTTCACTTAATGAGATGTGTTAGGGATCTTCCCATATCAGTACATGTAGATTTTATTCATACAGTCATTCAACAAATATTTATTGAGCACGATTGTGGATTTTATCGTGGCTCAGCAAATATTCACTCTCCTTTCCCCCAGCTCCCCAGGGGAGGAGTGTATTTCCCTTCCCCATTTATGTGGAGCTTGTTCATATGAGTTGCTTAGACCAAGGGAATGGAAGTGGTGGAAAGGACAGTGTGCCAGATCCTAGCAGAAGCTTGCAGAAGCATGGCAAGTTCTGCTAGCTTTCTTGGGCTCCTGCTGTCCACTAAAAAAATTATATGTCCTCCATGTTCTTCAGCTGAGTTCCTTGCTTAGAAAGACACATGGAGCAGACCTGGACCGACCCCACAGCCTGGACAAGAGTTGCTACCGTTCACTATAGCAAGCAAGAAATAAATGTTTGCTGCTGTAAGCCACGGAGAGTTTGGGAGTTTTGTAACTCAGCAGGATCCCAGCCAAAGCTGATTGGTACAAACACCTGCCATTTGCCAGGTATTGTTCTAAATGCTAGGAAAACAACAAAAATCCCTGCTTATGTGGAACTTTCACTGTGTGTTAGTCTGTTTTTCATGCTATAAAGAAATAGCTGGCTGGACGCGGTGGCTCATGCCTGTAATCCCAGCACTTTGGGAGGCTGAGGCGGGTGGATCACGAGGTCAAGAGATCGAGACCATCCTGGTCAACATGGTGAAACCCCGTCTCTACTAAAAATACAAAAAATTAGCTGGGTATGGTGGCACGTGCCTGTAATCCCAGCTACTCAGGAGGCTGAGGCAGGAGAATTGCCTGAACCCAGGAGGCGGAGGTTGCGGTGAGCCGAGATGGCGCCATTGCACTCCAGCCTGGGTAACAAGAGCGAAACTCTGTCTCAAAAAAAAAAAAGAAAGAAATAGCTGAGGCTGGGTAACTTATAAAGAAAAGATGTTTAATTGGCTCACTATTCTGCAGGCTGTAGATGAACCACCGCCCTGGCAGCTGCTTCTGGTGAGGGCCTTAGGAAGCTTACAATCATGGCAGAAAGTGAAGAAAGAGCAGGCACATCACATGGTGAGAGTGGAAACAAGAGAAACGGGAGGTCCTAGACTCTTTTTATTTATTTATTTTTTGAGACAGAGTTTCTCTCTTGTTACCCAGGCTGGAGTGCAATGGCGTGATCTCGGCTCACCGCAACCTCTGCCTCCTGGGTTCAGGCAATTCTCCTGCCTCAGCCTCCTGAGTAGCTGGGATTACAGGCATGCGCCACCACGCCCAGCTAATTTTTTGTATTTTTAGTAGAGACGGGGTTTCACCATGTTGGCCAGGATGGTCTCGATCTCTTGACCTTGTGATCCACCCGCCTCGGCCTCCCAAAGTGCTGGGATTATAGGCTTGAGCCACCGCGCCTGGCCGGTCCTAGACTCTTTAAGACAACCAGATTTCCTGTGAAGTAACTGAGCTATTAACCCACTCGTTACCAACAATCTGGCACTAAGCCATTCATAAGAGATCTACCCACATGATCCAAACATCTCCCACCAGGCCCTACCTCCAACGTTGGGAGAACCACATTTTTTTTCTTCCCTTCTCTTTTTTGTTTTTGGAGCCAGGATGCATTAGTCCATTTTCATGCTGCTGATAAAGACACAACCGAGACAATTTACCGAAGAAAGAGGTTTATTGGGCTTACAGTTCCACATGGCTGGGGAGGCCTCGCAATCATGGTGGAAGGCAAGAAGGAACAAGTCACATCTTATGTGGATGGCAGCAGATAAAAAGAGAGTTTGTGCAGGGCAACTCCCGTTTTTAAAACCAACAGATCTCATGAGATCCATTCACTATCACGAGAACAGCACAGGAAAGATCCACCCCCATAATTCAGTTGTCTCCCACTGGGTCCCTCCCACAACACGTGGGAATTAGGGGAGCTACAATATGAGATTTGAGTGGGATCACAGAGCCAAATCATATCTCAGGGTCTCACTCAATCACCGAGGCTGGAGTGCAGTGGCATGATCTCAGCTCACTGCAGCCTTGGCCCCCCGGGTTTTAAGTTATCCTTGCACCTTGGCCTCCCAATAGCTGGTACTACAGATGTGCACCACCATGTGTCATGGGGGTTTGTTGTACAGATTAGTCACCTAGGTACTAAGCCTAGTACCCAATGGTTATTTTTTCCAATGCTCTTGCTCCTTTCACCCTCCACCCTCCAATAGGCCCCAGTGTATGTTGTTCCCCTCTATGTATCCATAAGTTTTCATCATTTGGCTCCCTCTTATAGGTGAGAACTTCTGGTATTTGGTTTTCTATTTCTGCATTAGTTTACTAAGGATAATGGCCTCTAGTTCCATCTATGTTCCTGCAAAAGATATGATCTCATTGTTTTTATGGCTGCATAGTATTCCATAGTGTATATGTACCGCATTTTCTTTATCCAGTCTATCACTGATGGGCATTTAGGTTGATTCCATGTCTTTGCTATTGTGAATAGTGTTGAAATAAACATTCACATGCATGTGTCTTTATGGTGGAATGATTTATAGTCCTCTGGTTATATACTCAGTAATGAGATTCCTGGGTTGAATGGCTGTTCTGCTTTTAGCTCCTTAAGGAAGCACCACACTGCTTTCCATAATGGTTGAACTAATTTATACTGCCACCAACAGTGTATAAGTGTTCGCTTTTCTCCACAACTTCATCAGCATCTGTTATTTTTTGACTTCTTAGTAATAGCCATTCTGAATGATGTGAGATGGCATCTCATTGTGGTTTTCATTTGCATTTCTCAATGTCAGTAATTTTGAGGTTTTCTTCATATGCTTGTTGGCCATATGTATATCTTCTCTTGAAAAGTGTCCGTTCATGTCCTTTGCCCACTTTTTAGTGGGGTTGTTTTTCTCTTGTAAATTTGCCTAAAATTCCTTATAAATGCTGAATATTAGACCTTTGTCAGATGCATAATTTGCAAATTTTTTCTCCCATACTGTAGGTTGTCTGTTAACTCTGTTGATAGTTTCTTTTGCTGTGTAGAAGCTCTTTAGTTTGATTAAATCCCATTTCTCGATTTTTGCCTTTGTTGTGTTTGCTTTTGGCATCTTCATTATGAAATCTCTGTCCATTCCTGTGTCCAGGCTGGTATTGCCTAGGTTGTCTTCCAGGGTTTTTATAGTTTTGTGTTTTACAATTAAGTCTTTAATTCATCTTCAGTTGACTTTTGTATATGGTGTAAGGAGGGGTCCAGTTTCAATCTTCTGCATTTGGCTAACCAGTTATCCCAGCACCATTAATTGAATGGGGAGTCCTTTCTCCATTGCTTGTTTTTGTCACCTTGCTTATCTTGGGATTCACACAGTGCTTAACACAAAGAGCTTAATGAATGTTGTTGAACTTCTCTAGTGTTCTATAGCACCCTAGGGTGACTATTATAATTAGCAACAATTGATTAACTATTTTCAAATAGCAAAAAGAACAGATTCTTTTGTTTGTTTGTTTGTTTGGTTTTTGAGACGAAGTCTTGCTCTGTCACCCAGGCTGGAGTGCAGTGGCAGGATCTCAGCTCACTGCAACCTCAGACTCTTGGGTTTAAGTGATTCTTCTGCCTCAGCCTCCCGAGTAGCTGTGACTACAGGCATGTGCCACCATGCCCAGCTAACTTTTTTTTTTGTATTTTTAGTAGAGATGGGGTTTCACCATGTTGGCCAGGCTGGTCTCAAACTCCTGACCTCAGGTGATCCACCTGCCTTGGCTTCCCAAAGTGCTGGGATTACGGGTGTAAGCCACCACACCTGGCCAAGAACAGATTTTGAATATACTCAAGACAAAAAATGATAAATGTTTGAGGTGATGGATATGCCAGTTACCCTGACTTGATCATTACATATTATATATGTATATCAAAATACCACACATACCCCAAAATATGTATAATTATTACATGTGAATTAAAATACATAAAATCAGTTCTCACTTCGGCAGCACATATACTAAAATTTGAATGATAAAGAGAAGATTTGCATAGTCCCTGTGCAAGGATGACACATAAATTTGTGAAGTGCTCCATATTTTTAGAAGACCCCCATCGTCTCAGCCCAAAATCTCCTTAAACTGATAAGCAGCTTCAGCAATGTCTCAGTATACAAAATCAATGTGAAGAAATCACAAGCATTATTATACACCAATAACAGACTTAAAGAGAGCCAAATCAAAAACGAACTCCCATTCACAATTGCTACAAAGAGAATAAAATGCCTAGCAATACAACTAACAAAGGATGTAAAGGACGTCTTCAAGGAGAACTACAAACCACTGCTCAAGGAAATAAGAGAGGACACAAACAGATGGAAAAACATTCCATTCTCATGGTTAGGAAGAATCAATATTGTGAAAATAGCCATACTGCCCAAAGTAATTTATGGATTCAATGCTACCCCATCAAGCTACCTATGACCCTCTTCACAGAACTGGAAAAAGCCAACTTAAACTTCATATGGAACCAAAAGAGCCCACATAGCCAACACAATTCTAAGCCAAAAGAACAAAGCTGGAGACATCACGCTACCTGACTTCAAACTATACTACAAGGCTACGGTAATCAAAACAGCATGGTACTGGTACCAAATCAGAGATATAGGCCAATGGAACAGAATAGAGGCCTCAGAGGCAATGCCACACATCTACAACATGACAAAAACAAGCAATGGGGAAAGGATTCCCTGTTTAATAAATAGTGTTGGGAAAACTGGCTAGCCATGTGCAGAAAGCAGAAACTGGACCCCTTCCTGACACCTTACACTAAAATTAACTCCAGATGGATTAAAGACTTAAACATAAGACCTAATACCATAAAAACTCTAGAAGAAAACTTAGGCAAAACCATTCAGGAGATAGGCATAGGCAAGGACTTAATGACTAAAACTCCAAAAGCATTGGCAACAAAAGCCAAAGTAAACATATGGGAGCTAATTAAGCTTAAGAGCTTCTGCACAGCAAAAGAAACAATCATTAGAGTGAACAGGCAACCAACAGAATGGGGAAAAATTTTTGCAATCTACCCATCTGACAAAGGGCTAATATCCAGAATCTACAAAGAACTAAAACAGATTTACAAGAAAAAAAACAAACCCATTAAAAAGTGGGTGAAGGATTTGAACAGACACTTTTCAAAAGAAGACATTGATGAGGCCAACAAACATATGAAAAAATGCTCATCATCACTGGTCATTACAGAAATGCAAATCAAAACCACATTGAGATACCATCTCACGCCAGTTAGAATGGCAATCATTAAAAAATCTGGAGACAACAGATGCTGGAGAGGATGTGGAGAAACAGGAACACTTTTACACTGTTGGTGGGAGTGTAAATTAGTTCAACCATTGTGGAAGACAGTGTGGCGATTCCTCAAGGACCTAAAAATAGAAATTCCATTTGACCTAGAAATCCCATTACTGGGTATATACCCAAAGGATTATAAATCATTCTATTATAAAGACACATGCACACGTATGTTCATAGTGGCACTGTTTACAAAAGCAAAGACCTGGAACCTACCCAAATGCCCATCGATGATAGACTGGACAAGGAAAATGTGGCACACATAAACCATGGAATACTATGCAGCCATAAAAAACAATGAGTTTATGTCCTTTGTAGGGACATGGATGATGAATCTGGAAACCATCATTCTCAGCAAACTGACACAAGAACAGAAAATCAAACCCTGCATGTTCTCACTCATAGGCAGGTGTCGAACAATGAGAACACATGGACACAGGGAGGGGAGCATCACACACTGGGGTCTGTTGGGGAGGATCAGGAGAGGGACAGCAGGGGGTAGGGAGGTTGGGGGGGGATAACATGGGGAGAAATGCCAGATGTAGGTGACGGGGGATGGAGGCAGCAAACCACATTGCCATGTGTGTACCTATGCAACAATCCTGCATGATCTGCACATGTGCCCCAGAACCTAAAGTGCAATAATACAATACTATATATATATACACACACACACATAATAATAATAAAAGCAAAAAAGCAAAAAAAAATGTTGAACTCAATACTACTTTGGGACAAACACTTCTAGTTTGTTTTTGGAACCAAGAATTTCCATGTTGTATCTCATAATCCATGAATTTATCATGCCAATGAAGGAGTCCATAATGCCTATTTATGAATTCTCAATAGCAACTTTAATTGAAAAGAGTTCTGACAGCCCTTGGGCCGGCCTTGTCTTTCTCTGCAAGCACCATATGGGAACCCAAGCTGCAAACAAAGATACGCTTAGGGTGTTTGAAATCAGATAACAGCTAAGGAATTCCAAAGCAAGCCACACACACTGGTGTTCCTGTGATTAAAGTTTATTTTAATCTAATTTTTTTCTATGACCATAGTTGAGCATTCTAAAATAATCTTGAAAGTTAGCACTGGGGCTGGGTGTGGTGGCTCATGCCTATAATCCCAGCACTTTGGGAGGCTGAGGCAGGTGGATGACTGGAGGTCTGGAGTTCAAGACCAGCCTGGCCAACATGGTGAAACCCCCATCTCCACTAAAAATACAAAAATTAGTTGGGCGTGGTGGCAGCTGCATGTAATCCCAGCTACTCAGGAGACTGAGGCAGGAGAATCGCTTGAACCCGGGAGGCAGAGGTTGCAGTGAGCCGAGATCACGCCATTGCACTCCAGCCTGGGCCACAAGAGTGAAACTCTGTCTCAAAAAACAAAAAAAGCATTGGGGCAAAAAGTGACCCAGTTAGCATGGTGACTTAGCATATGTGCAAGACATGTTTCTTAAATGAAGAAATGACTAGGTGAATGGATGTGGCTGGGTGATGGGTGAAGTGGTGTAGAAGGCATACTTTCATCTCCTCAGACGCACTTCAGTCACCTTTGGGGAAAACTGAAGGGAGCTGGACCTCTTTCCTATGTAGCCACTATGTAGGGGTGGCTGCTGGGGTAAGGTAAACGGTGCCTCTTGTGTCTGACGGTATCATTTTGAAGGGGAGCACATATGGTGGGAATGATGTGGTGTGGGAAAGGAACTTAATTTAAAAACCCAGGAAGGCCGGGCTCGGTGGCTCAAGCCTGTAATCCCAGCACTTTGGGAGGCTGAGGCGGGTGGATCACGAGGTCAAGAGATCGAGACCATCCTGGTCAACATGGTGAAACCCCGTCTCTACTAGAGATACAAAAAATTAGCAGGGCATGGTGGCACATGCCTGTAATCCCAGCTACTCAGGAGGCTGAGGCAGGAGAATTGCTTGAACCCAGGAGGCGGAGGTTGCGGTGAGCCGAGATCGCGCCATTACACTCCAGCCTGGGTAACAAGAGCGAAACTCCGTCACAAAAACAAAACAAAACAAAACAAAACAAAAAAAAACACACACACACAAAAAAACCAGGAAAGCTTTAAGTCCAAGTTTCTTTTCTTGTAATTTTTTTTTTTTTTTTTTGAAATGGAGTCTTGCTCTATTGCCCAGGCTGGAGTGCAGTGGCACAATCTCGGCCCACTGCAACCTCTCCCTCCCGGGTTCAAGTGACTCTTGATGCCTCAGACTTCTGAATAGCTGGAATTACAGGCACGTGCCACCATGCTCAACTAATTTTTTGGATTTTTAGTAGAGACGAGGTTTCACTGTGTTAGCCAGGATGGTCTCGATCTCCTGACCCCGTGATCCTCCAGCCTCAGCCTCCCAAAGTTCTGAGATTACAGGTGTGAGCCACTGCGCCTGGCTTTTTAAAATTTTTAGTTAAAAAATTTTTTTTTATGTAGAGATGGGATCACACTATGTTGCCCAGGCTGGTCTTGAATTTCTGGGATCAAGTGATCCTCTTGTCTTGGCCTCCCGAAGTACTGGGATTGTAGGTGTGAGTCACTGTGCTTGGCTTCCAAGTTTCTTAAAAAGCATTAATCACCCATGTCATAAGTTGAGTTCCCTGTGATGCAAACTCTAAGACTGAGTTAGTGTGGAGGATGTTTATTAAAGAGAGCACTTGGAATCAACACCGTGGAAGGGGGAGGAAGAAAGCAGAATTTAGTGGTAACTGTAGGAGAGAGAGGAAGTGGGACAACACGGGCAAATATATGAGTGTCTAGAGGTCAAGTGTTTGGGATGTGGCTGTTGAAGCACTGGATGGGAGAAAGCAGGAGGCAGGAGGCAGCATCCCCTGCCTTGTCTCTATATTCCGCTTTGCACAAGGCTGATGAACATAGAGATTTCAAACAACCGAAAACAATGTCTCAACAGCAGCCTCCTTATGTGGAATTGGCTGCTGTCGCCAAGCCAGGATGAGCTGAGGATGGAAGATGAAGCAGAGCATGAGCTCAGGATGTAGACCGCTCAGAGAGGCATGTCCTTGGTAAAAGAGAAAATTTATCCTGTGTATGTCTGCGCAAAGAACACTCCTGTATTAGATCTTGTGGTTGCAAATGATAGAGGCGCAACTGGAGCTATCTTAGAGAAAAAGGAGGATTTGTTGGCTCTTGTAGAAAACCCTGTAAAGAGAGAGGTGTAGCTGGCTTCTGGGAGGACAGGGACAAAGGCTGGTCCCCTATTAGCGTGGAGAATGAAGCTTTCTTTGTGTCAACTGCCCTCTTTCAGGGGCTTTATCACAAGACTGGCCCACCAATGACAGAAACTGCTAACTCTCCTCTGTCCGAATTTCATTCATTCAATTCATAAAACATATATCCATGGAATACCTATAACATTACAGACACTTTTCTAGGTGCTGGAAGTAGTAGGAGAAGAAATGCAAGAAAATAAACTCAGTTTATATTCTAGAGGAGGAAATTCAGACAGTATACAAAAGTAAAGAGAAATATTTTACAGGGTGTTAGAAAGTAGTAAGTGCTATGGAAAATACAAACCAAGCATAAGGCCAGGCATGGTGGCTCATGCCTATAATCCCAACACTTTGAAAGCCAGAGGCTGGCAGATCACTTGAGCCCAGGAGTTTGAGACCAGCCCGGGCAACGTGGCGAAACCCTTCTTTACAAAAAAAAACACAAAAATTAGCTCGGCGTGGTGGCTCATGCCTGTAGTCTCAGTTAGTTGGGAGGCTGAGGTA